GTCCAGTAACCAAGGGGAAATGGGAGTGGTACCACTCACTATTATCCCTAGTGACCCACTCAAAAGATTGTTGCTTCCTGTCTCTGCTACCCTATGCTCTGTGGATCTGGAGATATTAGTCCCAAAGGGAGGAACACTGCCATCTGGAGACACAATACTGATTGCATTGAACTGGAAATTAAGAATGCCACCCGGTCATTTTGGCTTCCTCATGCCTCTGGATCAACAGACAAAGAAGGCCATTACTGTATTATCTGGTGAGATAGATCCTGATTACCAAGGGGAAATTGGATTGACATTACATAATAGAGGTAAAGAAGAATATGTCTGGAATTTAGGAGATTCTGTAGGACATGTCTTAGTATTACCATGCCCTGTGATTAAAGTTGATGGAAAATTACAGCAACCCAATTCTGATGTGACTGCTAACGGCCCAAACCTTTCAGGAATGAAGGTCTGGATCACCCCACCAGGCAAAGAACCATACCAGCTGAGATGCTTGCTGAGGGTAAGGGAAATACTGAATGGGTGGTAGAAGAAGGTAGTTCTGAATATCAGCTACGACCACGTGACTAGTTGCAGAAATGAAGACTGTGATTGTTATATTTCTTCATTGTATATGTGCATCAAATATTTTTGTTTCCTTCTGTTATGAACTGTGAAATGTAAATAAGGTTAATGTGTTTTGGTTGTATGTGTGTTAGTGTATCATGTTAGGTGCAAATATGACTTTATAATTGTCCTTATTTAGAGATTATATATTGTTAAGAAGGTATGTACAACTGCCAAGTTGACAAGGAGTGGACTGTGATAGTTGGAGCTGTGTGTCAACTTGGCTGGACCACAGTTCTGTGTGGTTTAAGCATTTGTGATGTGGGTTGTTCCAATGATGGGATCAGATGATATTTTCTGAGCAGCCAATCCGTTGAAAGGGAGTTTCCCTAGGGGTGTGGCCTGCATCCAGTATATTTATGGACATCCTGGGAAAAGAGATAGTCTGTGGATTGGGGTTCTATTGTGCTGACTACAACTGTCCATGAGCGAACAATCCACCATTCGGCCTGGAGATCTTGGATTAGTCATTTGTTGGAGTCAACAGCCATATACTGCCTGCCAACCTTGAGCTCATCAGCCCCTGCAGCTATGTGAGTCAGGAAAAGCCTCCAGCTTGATATTTTCTAAGAACTTTGGACTTGCCAGCTTCTGTAAGTGTGTGAGGCATTTTCCTAAGATAAATTTCTCTTTCTCCATATATATAAGCTTTTCTGGTTTTGTTTCTCTAGAGAACCCAGTCTAACACAAATGCCATGCCATTCCTCTTCAATTTTTCATTCCCAGCATAGTATATCATATGGTTGTCTCATTCAGATGGCCAATACCAGTCCATTTCAGCTCCCTAATGTGGAGGATGCCCGTCTTTATGCATTCCTTTTCATTTTTGACAACTTCTAATTTTTCTAGTTTCATACTTTATATATTCCATGTTCCAATTATTAATGGATGTTTGCAGTTGTTTCTTCTCATTTTGCGTCATGCCACATCAGCAAGTGGAGGTCCTGGAAGCTTTACTCCATTCACATCATTACGATTGGCTCTACTCTGAAGAGGCAGCTCTTTCTCAGTTGTATTTTGAGTACTTTCCGACCTGACGGACTCATCTTCCAGCACTATAATGTACAGTATTTCAGGGCTATTCATAAAGTTTTCTAGTAATATATCAGACATTGTTTCACTGCTACTCCTAAGATTTTCACTGGCCAGTTCTTTGGGAACTTTGGGAACTGGCCCCCTTCCTTCTTCCGAGACTGTCTTAGTGTTGAAGCTCCACTGAAACCTGTCTACCATGGGTGACTCTGATGGTATTTGAAACACCAATGGCAAAGCCTCCAGCCTCAGAGCAACACACAAGCCACCACTGTACAACAAACTGATGAGTGGTGGTTATTGAATTAAATTATATTATTAAAATTAATTGTTTCCATTTACTTCTTAAAAGTGGCTATTAAGAAAATAGAAAATTACATATGTGGCTTGTATTTGTGGCTCTCATAGTTCTATTGGACAGCACTGATCTACATCTATATTTAACTGTCTATATACATATATGCTTATTTTTGAAAAAAAAAACACAAGGAGAAAATAAAAATATTATTGTTTACCTAGAGGAGTTGGGTGGAAAGGGAGAGTTGAAGGGATAGGAAAGAAAAGAAAAAAACTTCAATACATGTTTTGGTTCTCCAGTGATGCTCTAACAGGAAAATACCACAAGTGGGTGGTTTTAACAAACAGGGATTTATTCTCTTACAGTTTAGGAGGCTAAATGTCAAAGTTCAAAGTGCTAGCTCTAGGGGTTGATTGAAGGCTTCATCTCTTCCTCTTGCTCTTTTCTCACTGAAGCTGGAGACTTCTCTTAACTCAGGGAGCTGCCGGCTGTTGAGGCTAACAAACCCAGGATTGGCAAGTAAAATGGCACAGTCCCAAGCTTATTAAGCAACACAGCAGGCCACTATTTTAAGTCCAGACACAATCCCAAGATCAACAGACAACATGGTAGGCTATAGAGATGAAGACTCAGCTATATGTAGGGTCCAAGTGTGGCAAAAAGCTCAAGATATTTCTCAAAGTGTCTTCTTATGTACTGGAAGCAGACCACATCCCTAAGGCAGCTATTCAGCTGCTCATAGTAGATTCCACCATGGAGTTGATTACCACTCTCATCATGGGGAATAACTACATCCAGCTGTTCATCCCCTGAAAATCAGGCCCAGCCAAGTTGGCACATAACCTTAACTACCATGATCCAAATAACTTTTGAAAAAATACTTGCTATATCCTCAGTGGGATTTATTCTAATGATAAAAAGAGGCACGTAACAATCTTGAATTTTATTTAATAAGTTTGTGATAATAAACTTTATTTAATAAGTTTAAAATTACTGGTATAGCAAATTTGAAACTATTTTGCGTGTATTACGTTGTTGTTGTTATGTGCCATCGAGTCGGGCCCAACTCATAGTGACCCCTCCTTGGGTTTCCAAGGCAGTATCGCTACAGAAGTAGATTGCCCCATCTTCCTTCCGAGGAGTAGCTGGTGGGTTTGAACCGCCAGCCTTCTGGTTAGCAGTCAAGTGCCTTAGGCACTGTGCTACCAGAGCTCCCGCATGTATTATAGGATTGAGTAAATAAGTAAGTATAATGATGTAATTGGGAAGGCAGATCCTTAATGTAATAGAAAAGAAACATAAATATGAAATAGGGGAAAGACAAGAAAAATTCTCTGGTGTTGGATTAGAATAAGAGGTTATCAGTAGTAGTTCAGACTTTAAAAATACCTATCTGTCTGTCTTTTTAACAATTTAGATAGGGAAATAGATCTTCCCTAGGTCTGACCACTGCAGTTATCAGCAGTGACATCCCAGTAGCAAGGAGCATATATAGTGCTCAAATACTAGTTTCTAAATATTCTTCCACACCAAAATGAACTAAGATTCCTTGCAAAATAACTGATTCCAGGTCTAGCAGAGAGAAGGTACATGGGAAGCCTTGAACTTCTTACTGCTCTACAGATTTAAGGACATGCTCAAAAAATGTTGGATACATGACAAAAGGACATAGGAATGAGCTTTGCATGTTTCAGCTAGATTTTCTATTTTTATGCTTCTAACTTTTCATCACTTAAAATTTTTCTTTCACCAAGTATTGCCAGTTGAGACTCTTGGATTTTCTATGATAATGGAAAACAGAGAGCATGGAAAATTGAAACACACAGATACTATCTTCAACTGTTTTAAAATAGAGTTCAGTCTCTGTTTCTAGTAATTCTCTTAACCAAATCTTCCACACAAACAAAACAGAGCAAAAACTTTGATTTCAAGGCTTATCTCTATTTTGAGTAATAGAAATTTTCCAAAGCAATTTTTTAGGCCCTCTTTTGAGATAGAGCTCTTTGAGAATTTGGTGAGTATGAATCCTTTTCCAGAAAAACTCAGTTAAGTACATGCACCCAGATTTTCAGGAAAATTTCAGGGGTGTTTCTTAACTTTCTGAAGTTTATCCCATAGAGTTGAATTAAAAGCCCCTTTTCTAGCAGTGCCTGTATTTGTAAGAGTCAAAAGAAGGCAGTGTGAAAGGTCTTAGATCCTGTTTGTGTACAGAACAATCATCCCTAGCCCACTATCTTAATGCCACAGTGTAATGACATCTTTTGTCTTTCCAATTCCTGCTTTTTCTGTTTTCATATTTTTTTTAAATTATAAAGTAAAATTGTAACACATTTTTTACCACTGTTATTTTTGACAGCTGTATTGAGATATAATTTTCGTATCATAAAATGCACCCATTGTCAGTATACTTTTCAGTGATTTTTAATAAATTCAGAGAGTTGTACAGCTGTCATCATAATCCAGTTTTAGAACTTCTCCATCATGTTAAACCTGTACATCGATTTGCTCTTGTGGTTTTATGTAACAGTCTCAGGAGTACTAATTTCTAAGAGGAAAGGAAGTTATAGAGTGCAAAATTATTTAAATAAATACATAGTTATTATATTAGAAATTATTTCTTCATCAATAGTAAGTAAAGGATTTGTTCATAGATTCTGGTATTGAATTTATCAAATTTTGGAAAATATAACAAATATTTAAAAGCTTTTCCTGTCTTTGTTCTACCATTTCATATTAAGATTGTTAAATGAGTATATTTAATGCATTATTAATTATGTGGCAACCTTTATAATTGGGCTTCCGGGAGTGAGCTTAATTTTTAATAAACTTGAATTAGTAATTAGTGTTTAATATAACGTTTTGAAGTTCAGATTAACTTGTGTATGATTAAAGTTTGTCTGAAAGATAAAGTGAAATGTTTGGGAGGCTTGGAAACCAAAATGGCTGGGTACTTACTTAGTCAATTGAAAGTAAGGTTGTATCTTCTCTATGTTTGTTAAAATATTTACTTTGGAATTACTGGTGGAGCTAATATTTATTGCTGTTTGTCACTTGCCAGGTACTTTATTACCACGGTTGCCATCAGAACCAGGAATGACATTACTCACAATCAGAATTGAGAAAATTGGTCTGAAAGATGCTGGGCAGTGCATCGATCCCTATATCACAATTAGTGTAAAGGGTAAATAACTCTGACTGAATGTTTTTCCTTTGGTGAATTTTATAATGTTGTTTCTCATTTGGGAATTTTTTTTTGGGGGGTTGGGGAGTGTTGCAGAGGGGGTATTTTCTGTAACAGATCATTTTGATTTGTTCTACAATGAGGCAGAATACCTAGGAGGAGAACACCTCTCCTTCGCTGAGCATTCCAGAGAGGTTTATAAAAAAAAAATTTTCCTCTTTATGACAGACTCTTTTTTGCTTTTGCTCAGTAGACTACACAGTCTTTAACAGCAGAAGCTACATGCTTCAGGAAACAGGTTAACAAAATGTCCTTCACCTGCCAAGGATGTGGATTTCTTTGCAATTCCAGTGTTCTTCTGTTTTCCTATCCATGCTACTTTTTAGTCCCTCTCCTTCCCAGAGAGTTTCACATATGGGGGAGTTCTACAGAGGTGATAGGAATCAGGTCTTCAGTGAGTCATCAGTGGAGCAGGAGAATAGGACATCCCACACATCCATACTCTGTGTGAAATCCTGCGGGACATTAAAAAAGTGAAGTATTTCTTATCCTTAACTGTATGACCATACTTATTAAGCATAATTAATTTCAGGATTTGTGCCAGTCCAATTACTCCTTGAAAACATTTTTAGTCTTTTTATTTGAGAAGAAAACTAGAGTAGTTGAATTATTTTCTTGCTTTGTAAGTCATTTTTAGTCTTTTTATTTGAGAAGAAAACTAGAATAGTTGAATTATTTTCTTGCTTTCTAAGTCATTTAACAGTCTTTTAAAAGTAATTGAGTGATTGAGGATGATGTTGTCATACTGTTTTCCAGGAGTAACTGTATAATTGGTCCAAGTGGTTTACTTCAATCTCTCCAGAAACCAAACTGAATTCACTGCCATCGAGTCAATTCTGACTCATAGCAAGCCCCATTGGGTTTCCAAGGCTGTCAGTCTTTGCAGAAGTAGACTGCCTAATCTTTCTCCTGGAAAGCGGCTGGTGTGTTCGAACGACTGACCTTTTGGTTAACAGCCAAATGCCTTAACCACTACACCAGTAGAACTTCTTTTCACTTTAATCTCTGTGGTTGTTATGTGCCATTGAGTTGGCCCCAACTTACAGTGACCCCTCCTTGGGTTTCCGAGGCGGTATCACTACAGAAGTAGATTGCCCAACCTTCCTTCCAAGGAGTGGCTGGTGGGTTTGAACCGCCAGTCTTCTGGTTAGCAGTCAAGTGCTTTAGCCACTATGCTACCAGAGCTCCTCTTTAATCTCTAGATGGAGGCAAATCAAAGAAATAGATATGGGCTGAAATCAAATGGAAAGATCTTTTATCAATTATAGAAATAAATTCAGACACCTGGGTTCATTAGTATAAAAGACAACCCATACTTCAGTTAAAAGAAAAAAGACTTAATCTACAGGGCAGAATTTTATTATGTTGAGACTATAATCCATAGCACAAATGCTGTGATACATACAATCAATGTTCCTGATATAATCAGTTGTAAATATATGATCTACTAGAAAATATTTATTTATCCCCTGAATTATTTCATAAGCCATTCATAAAGCTGAAAATTGCAGTCAGTAATGCACACTGTAAAACACAAAACATTTTTAATGATAATATGGTAGATGCAAGGAGCCCTGGTGCTAACAAAGAGGTCAGCAGTTCAAACCCACCAGGGATCCATGAGAGAAAAGACCTGAAGATCTGCTCCCATAAAGATTATAGCCTAGAAAACTATGGGGCAATTCTGCTCTCTCCTGTAGGGTTGCTGTGAGTTGGAATCAACTTGACAGCACCCAGCAACAACAATGGTAGATGCTGTGTTATGTTACCTTTGCATGCATGTTGAACTGAAACATATTTTTGTGTAAAGATCTTTAGGCACTATTGAAAGAATTAAATGTGCTAATTTGTTTTACAAAAACCAAATTCACTGCCCTTGAGTCAATTCTGGCTCATAGCAACCCTCATTGTGTTTCTGAGGCCAGAAACCTTTACAGAAGTAGATTGCCTTGTTTTCCTTCTGCAGAGTGGCTGGTGGGTTTGAACTGCTGACCTTCTGGTTGGCAGCCAAGTGCCTTATCCACTCAAAAAGTGTTTATTGATAGAATGGTTTCATTGGCAACTTTCATACCTATATTTTTGGGTATATTTTTGTAACTTAAATGCAGCAGAGGAATTGTAATAATGTTAGCTTTAACAAGTTTCCAATTAGGGACAAGGACCTCATTGTGGTATATCATTCACATTCCAAATTTTTATTGCACAAAAATATAGTGGAGAGTTCTGGTAAGATGGCAGAGTAGGCAGAAAGACTGCACAGACCCTCTTCAACAAAGAAAAGGGAACCAATTAACACAGATACAGAAGATAATCTTGGACCCCTGAGCCTTGAAGGGAAGGATATAGAAGTGGAGGAAACTCCAACTAGCAGAAGAATTTGCATGAAAACACCAAAAAAGGAGACATACAGAGCTGTGGTCTGGCAGGGATCCTGATGACATGGACAGCTTGGACAGTTTGGATAGCTTGGATATTGCTGAGTGGTGGTAGGACCTAAGAATTAACCTAAAAATCAGCCCTGCTAGCACCAGACTGCACTGGTGGCTGGTGAATAAAAGGGAAGGCAGCAAAGAGGAGAGTGGGCTGAGCTGTGGCTTTGCTCTGTCCGGAGGGTGCAGCCATTTTTAATATTTATAAGCAACTTGCCCATTTTGGATATTTGAAGTGACACGTTCTCCAAGATTCCAGGGACTTAAGAATAGGCTCCACTTGCCAGTAACCCCAAGGACATAATGGACCCTCAGGACTGGAAAGGTGCAACATTCCTATTGGTTATTCTTATGCCCCACACCCTCTTGGTGAATGGAGGTGCAGCCATACTTCACTCCCACCCAGCAGGAATTCCATCCCAGTCAGTGTGCTTGGAAGGAATCTGGGTGTCCTGCCCTTCTCTACCCCAATGTTTTTTTTCTTTTTTCTGTTTTTTAGTTTGTTTGTTTTTGTCTGTTTTAAAACTACTACTATTATTATTACTTTTGTCCTTTTTACTATTATTCTATATTCTTAGCTTCCTAGGTTCTAGTTTTCAGCTTTTTTCTTTTCCCTGTTGCAATTTTTTTTTCCTTTCTTGTGGTTAACCCTGTTCTTTGTTTTTCTTCTTACATTTTTCCCATTTATATCTTCACTATTCTCCTTCTCTATCTTATTTCTCTTATTCCACTCTCCAAAAATATTGCAGATTTTTTTTCTTCTTCTTTTCCCTTCTTTCTTTTTTTAGTTACTGTTCTTGTATGATTACATGGTGCACATTTTGTCCCTTTGCTTTTACTTTTTTTGATGGTTATTCAGTTGTTATTTTTGTCTAACTGAGTGGAAGACAGCAACAGTCCCCATATGACACAATTACACCCACACCCCCTGCAGCTTCAGTTACTGAATGAGAGCCACCACTTCCTTCTCCACCAACAGGCCAGTGATAAACAACCACCAAGAAGAGCCTGATTCACCCTTGGCTGCTCTTCACAAACAGTTAACAGAGATCTAAATACAGTGATTCCATGATGTCTCCGAGACAACAGACCATCATAGTCCACACAAAGAAGCAAGATAAAGTGGTAGAAACAAGGAAGAAGGATACAGACCCAGAACACATCCCTGAGGAGGAAGTAGCATTGGAACTCTCAGATAAGGAATTCAAAAGAATTATCTTTAGGTATCTTCAAAGCATTGAAAGACAGACCAAGGAAAACACAGACAAAACCCTTAGAAGAATTTTGGAAGAAAATACAAGAACAAAATGACAAAATAAATAAAAAATTAGAAATGATTCTTAATCTATAGATAGAAATCCAGAAGATTAATACTAAATTGTCAGAATTAGATAGCACATTGAAAGGGCAAAGCAGTACAGTTGATGCAATGAAAGACAGAATTAGTGAGATAGAACACAAATACCTGAATACTTCTTTGGAAAGGGATCAGTAAGAAAAAAGAACAAAAGAAAATGAAGAAAGCCTGAGGTTTATGTGGGATACCATCAAAAGGAATAACCTGCATGTCATTAAAATTCCAGAACAGGAAAAGAAAAATAAAACCACTGAGAAAATTGTCCAAGATTTGTTGGAGGAGAACTTCCCTAATATGATGAAAGATGAGAATATATCCATTCAGGAAGTCCAATTAACCCCAAACAGGATAGACCCCAAAAGAAAATCACCAAGACATATCATCATCAAACTCATCAAAACCAAAGACAAAAAGAATCCTGAAAGCAGCAC